CATGTTAGCGCCATTTTTGTGCGCGCTAACTTGGAGGCTGCGTACGCAGGAAGCAGGCTGCAAGTGACCTAGGCTCATGAGGCTTTAGGTACCGCCATGACAGTGCCGCTGTGCTCTCTTGGCCGTCGCTTTCAGCGTAAAACAGCAGTTATCAAACAAAAACAGTCTAAAACTTGTAAAAAGCCTTCAGCCTTGCGGTTCACTGCCGATATCGGCTAACCGGCTCATCACGTTGAATGTGTGAGTGCTCGAAGCGCAATGCGGACCAATAGGCCATTGAGACTGAGACTCAAGAGTGGCCCCGGTAGCGTAAGTGGTAACGCAACTGCCCGGTAAGCAGAAGATGCGGGTTCGAGTCCCGCCCGTGGTCCGACTTTTGCCCACAACTCAGCATTCTTGTGATAACTTTCGTATCGCGCACTGCGGCGTAAAACAGCAGTTATCAAAAAAACAGTCTAAAGCGCTCCCCGTTGTATCATCACCTCTTGTGTTTTGTAGATTATCTTGACCGGTCGGAGAGCGGTACTACTTGGCCTCGAGGGAGCACGCAGGACTACTACTGTCATTGTCATAGTTGATCGGCAGTGGTGTTTATCCCCGCCCCGTTCACGGCGCAAATTTTGGAAAAACTCTGGTGCATGCATAGATCGTTCCGCAGGTCTGTGCAGGTGGGGTCCTTCTCTTCCGTAGGAGGAATATTGGAAACATCCGCAATCGACAACCGCTGTTTCAAGCTGCTCCGTCACATTGCTCGTCTAGTGATCATTATCAACTGCAAGAAGGAGAGCTTTATTGAGGCGGGTCTTTTTCTCTTTTCTCTTCTCACCAGCAGGCACCGACGCTTCTATTTCAAACCTCATTGCCTCGAACTGCAATCGTGGAATGTGCCTTTAATCTGAGGCGGGACTTTTTGCTCGCGCCTGTTGCTATTCCCATGTAGACCGAAGTCTGCTGAGCGGCGATGTCCTGTCGCGATAGCCCGTGCAATGTATAGCCTGTATCTCACAGTCTCAGGACATCTACTAACAGGATTCATCTGCATGACGAGAAAATGGCTCTATATTCTTGCAGTAAAAGATATTCTAACAACAGATACCTCAAAATATATGTTCTTATAGGTTGGAAGGAAAGTCCTGTCAGTGTTTTTTGAAAAGCTTACAGTTTTTGATTCTCGATGCTCGTACATGACGTAACATGCTATGCTTGTAGGACACTCTGGGAGCTTTCCTGCAAGAGGCGTGTGAGGGCGCCTGCTCTCTGTGAGGCTTGTGAGGGCGCCTGCTCTTCCCTGGGTTTAATTACGATGTCAGTTTCACAGGAGTATCTTCGGGTCATCATCTTCTATCAGTGGCCCCGCGGCACTGGAGCCACGGCAGCTGTCCGTAACATCAACAGTGCATTGGGGAGGACACCACTACCGTCAGGATCGTTCACTTTTAGTTCGCTCGCTTCGCGAAAAGAGACTCGATCCTCGAAGACAAACCTTGGTTGGGACGGCCCCAAGAAGTATAAGACTCCACCATTCTCGAAGCAGACAAGGGGGATCCAGAGGCTACCACCCGCAGTCTTGCGACAAGACTCGGATGTACCTAACTGACAGTCGTCCACCGCCTGTAAGCCCTTGACTACCAAAAAGTCGATGGATCACTCATACCTTGACCGATGGCACGCTGTGCACCCGGGTACCCCTTGGTCAGTCTCCCCTTCTCCTCTCTCGTCAGAAGGAGTTTCTAGGAGGCTGCCTAGTGGAGTTGAGAGATGGGTAGCAAGCGCCTAGTGGGAATGAGAGATGGGTCCTCTATGATTTCAACCCACACAGTACCGTTTGTCTCTCTCAAGGAGAAGATCCATTCTAGCAGTCCAAACCGGGCATGTATTCCGAGAAGGTTCTCCTGTGCTGCTCCTGGGACGCGAGGGGATGCTGCAGAACGAGCTGCCCTGTAAGAACAGACGGTCACCGCTACCATTTGTGTCGCTCAGCTCCTGAAACCGGTTGTAAAAATGAGCCGAGACTAGCTTCGGGTCACCTCGTTCGTAGTACACGAGACCCCATAACTGCCATGAAGACCCACCGAATGATTGAGGAGCAAAGCTGAGAAACCAGTCTCCGCTCATCATATTCTCCTGACGTAGTCCCCTACGACTGCTACCTGCTCCGCCTCCTTAGGGCTTTCTTAGCTAAGAAAACTTTCAGCAACTTTTGATGACATCGAGAGGGCGCTGACTTACTCTACTCGCAGCCTTCTCAGTTCTGGGAGGAGGGGAATGCTTACCTGTCCATTGGGTGGAGCACTGTAGTGGCTAACTATGACGAGTATATTGTTGACTAATTCCCACTGTATATTGAGTTAGAAAATAAAAAGAAAAAAGTCACAACAGTGACAAGACTTTCCTTCCAACCTATATTTCATGTAGACTATAGACTAGTACAAGCAGTTAAGGTCAGTTTTCAGGATCGCGACTATATGTACATGGTGACTGATCTCCTGCTCGGTGGCGATCTCAGATTTCATTTGAATCAGCAAGGAAAATTTGCTGAAGACCGGTACGTCGTAAGAACTTCAATGTATTTCATCGAAGAATTAGTTATTCCGTTAAGATTAGTCCGATTAGTCTTCGTTCATGGGCAACAACAAGGTTTACCTCACAGACGGTAGCATGACGTCAGGTCCATTGCAACGAGAGTACGCTACGAAATCCTTCCGCGCATTCTCGCTACGCATTACTCGAACCATTAGGACCAGAAAATGTACAGATTGGCTGTTAGCTGGGATACATTTACCCTACCTATTATGACCAGGAATCCGCATTACTACTGTTTTATTCGCAGCGCACAGTGGGGCGTTTTAGGGGGCTGAGTTTGGTGCGCGCCAGCCTGTTTACCACAGATTGTAGTCGAGTGCCAGTTTCTTTCGTGTGCGGCTAGTCATATTCTGGCTGACTTGAAAATGGGACCTTTCCTGAAACTCTCCGTTCCAGATCAAAACTCTATATGTGCGAAATCTCGCTTGCCATTGAATACCTACACGGCCGAGGCATCATTCATCGTGACATAAAACCGGAGAATATTCTGTTGGATGAGCAAGGTGAGATGAACTTTGAATGAATTCTTCTGTTTTTTTCCCTGTCACAACTATGGTTTCTGTGTGGTGAAGAGCGATTAGCGTGGTCAAGCCCGTCGACATTAAGGCTATACTATACGTTTATGAAAATCTGTGCTTTCCAGGTCATGCTCATCTAACGGATCTCAATCTGGCCACCCAGCTCGAGCCGAATAAACTCGCCACTTCTTACTCAGGTGAAAACTTGCGGACTTTTTCGTTTTTTCCACAACTGCACTCTAAGGCGTGCTTTTACTTCGCGTCCCGAGCGATTAGTCGCGCGCGCGGCTGCGAGTAACCGCGCTCCAGCGCTAGCGGTCGCAGCGCTGCGATTGCTAATTTAATCACACTCGGAATAAATCTTGCTTCGGGCTCACAGCGGTCTAACGCTTAACGGTGGAGTGTGTTCATTCGCATTGGCGCGATTTGGGAATCGCGCAACCGAGTCGATCCAGTCGTGAAGTATGAACGCAGACTGAGGCTCACATAATTTTCATACGTATCGATCTTGCAATTGTTGAGA